GTCTGGATACATCTAGAGACGAGACAAATTTTTGTTAAGGGAACAGTACCAAACAGTTAGAAATGCAAGTTGTAAAACTTTATGAGAAAAAAAGATTTTATTTGAATCGTTAATGTTTGATATCATTCCCTATAAAGAACTCGACGAGAGAAACTGAAAAGATCCTCTTTGTGGAGTCTCTATCTCCAGCCATTTAGCCTGGGTAACTCGTTTTTGAATTCCAAAAACCAAAAACGAGTTACACAAGCTAAACGGTTGGAGATAGAGACTCGGTGAAGAGGACCTTTTCAGTTCCCCTCGTCGAGTTGCATGAGGAAATGATACCAAACATTAACAATTACAAAAAAAAATTCTTTTTTTTCTCATCAAAAGTCGTACAATTTGCACTTGTAAATGTTTGGTATCACTCTCTTATAGAACTCGGCGAGAGGAATTGAAAAGGTCCTCTTCACCGAGCCTCTATCTCTAACCGTTTAGCCAGAAAAACTCGTTAATGTTTTGTACAAATCGTAAAACTTACCTTTGCAGATAGACGCTCGCTCGGAAATACAATATTTTATACCGCGCTCAGCTCGGGTAAGTCAGCGGGACGCTCGCTCGAAAAAATATTGACTCTTCGAACGCTCACCTCGATCAAGTCTCGTCTCGCTGCTCTCGCTCGTACGTGTCCGCCAGCGGGAACTTGGAGTCTACGTGTCCGCCGTCGAGGAGGTAAGTGTCTAGGTATCTTTTACATGTCCGCCGTCGAGGAGGTGTCTAGGTATCGTATAGGTGTCCGCCGTCGAGGAAGTTGGTGTCTACGTGTCCGCCGTCGAGGAAGGAAGTGTCTACGTGTTCGCCGTCGTAGAGGTAAGTGTCTAGGTGTTCGCCGTCGTAGAGATTGGGGTCTAGGTATCTTTTACGTGTCCGCCGTCGAGGAAGTCGGTGTTCAGGTGTCCGTCGTCGAGAAAAAAAGTGTCTACGTGTTCGCCGTCGTAGAGGTTGGTGTCTAGGTATCTTTTACGTGTCCGCCGTCGAGGAAGTCGGTGTTCAGGTGTCCGTCGTCGAGAAAGAAAGTGTCTACGTGTTCGCCGTCGTAGAAATCGGTGTCTAGGTATCTTTTACGTGTCCGCCGTCGAGGAAGTCGGTGTCCAGGTGTCCGTTGTCCATGAAGGAAATGTCTAGGTATTTTCAATTCGGTTTAAATGTTATGTAGGTGTATACTAATTGTAATTTTTATGTATTTTTTGATCTGTTTTTATATTTATGTGAAATAAATTCCAATAGTTTTTAATTTGTAATATTTTATTAATTTTTTGACTAGTTGTTCTATTTTTTTTGTAATATTTTCCACTTGTTTCTTATTTTTATTTTATTTCTAATTTTTCGACTAGTTTTTAGATTTTTTTCTAATTTTTCCCACTTGTTTCTTTAATTTCATTTTTCTTTGATTTTTCTACTAGTTTTCCTATTTTTTACTAATTTTTTCCACTTCTTTGTTATTTTTTATTATTTTTTGATGTTTCGACTAATTTTTATATTTTCGTCCTATTTTAAATGTCTTTAATGTAATCTGTTTCAGATACGAAAATGGCTCGTTGCATTCCGATTGAGCTGGCTGTTCGACTGCAGGCGATAGTGCGACCTCCAGTCTTACTCAATATGGAGGATTTTCGAATTCACTCCAGTGCCGAATTAATGTGTCTTTCTAT